TATGCAGATGTGTGTGTGTTTGGTGTTTGTTTCGTTTTTTTGTGTGCGCGGTTTGGTGTGCATGTATTTATTGTTTTTTTTTGGGTATGTGTGTGTTTTTGGTGGGAGTGTTTTTGGTGTGTGTGTGTTTTGTGTATGTTTTTTGTGTGTTTGTGCGTTTTATGTTTTTGGTGTGATTGTTTTTGGTTTGTGTTACCTGGTTGATACCTGGTTGATGGGGTTCTGGGAGTTCTTCTACTCCCCAAGCCCGGCCCGAGGTCAGGCTTGACTTGTGAAAGTTTGGTGCACTAGGCTGTTGCTTGGAGCGGCCCGCAGGCCCACATTGCCACCACAGCCCGGTTGGTCCGGCACTCCTTGCAGGAATAAATCTAGTTTCCTCTTGAAGATGTCCACGGTTGTTCCGGCAATATTTCTTATGCTTGCTGGGAGGACGTTGAACAACCGCGGACCTCTGATGTTTATACAGTGTTCTCTGATTGTGCCTATGGCACCTCTGCTCTTCACTGGTTCTATTCTGCATTTTCTTCCATATCGTTCACTCCAGTACGTTGTTATTTTACTGTGTAGATTAGGTACTTGGCCCTCCAGTATCTTCCAGGTGTATATTATTTGATATCTCTCTCGTCTTCTTTCTAGTGAGTACATTTGGAGGGCTTTGAGACGATCCCAATAATTTAGGTGCTTTATTGCGTCTATGCGTGCCGTATATGTTCTCTGTATTCCCTCTATTTCAGCAATCTCTCCTGCTCTGAAGGGGGAAGTGAGTACTGAGCAGTACTCAAGACGGGACAACACAAGTGACTTGAAGAGTACAACCATTGTGATGGGATCCCTGGATTTGAAAGTTCTCGTAATCCATCCTATCATTTTTTTGGCTGTCGCAATATTTGCTTGGTTATGCTCCTTAAACGTTAGGTCGTCAGACATTATTATTCCCAAGTCCTTTACATGCTGTTTTCCTACTATGGTTACATTTGATTGTGTTTTGTACTCTGTATTATGTTTAAGGTCCTCATTTTTACCGTACCTGAGTACCTGGAATTTATCACTGTTAAACATTATGTTATTTTCTGATGCCCAGTCGAAAACTTTATTAATATCAGCTTGAAGTTTTCCAATGTCTTCAGCCGAGGTAATTTTCATACTGATTTTTGTGTCATCTGCAAAGGATGATACGAAGCTGTGACTTGTATTTTTGTCTGCATCTGATATGAGAATAAGGAAAAGCAGCGGTGCAAAGACTGTACCCTGAAGCACAGAGCTTTTAACTGCACTTGGACTAGATTTTATATGGTTGACCGTTACTCGCTGAGTCCTGTTTGATAGAAAACTGAGTATCTAGCGTCCTACTTTACCGGTTATTCCCATTGACTTCATTTTGTGTGCTATCACGCCATGGTCACATTTATCGAAAGCCTTTGCGAAGTCCGTGTATATCACATCAGCATTCTGTTTTTCTTCTAATGCCTCAGTGACTTTGTCGTAGTGCTCAAGTAGCTGTGAGAGGCACGATCTTCCCGCTCGAAATCCATGTTGGCCTGGGTTGTGAAGATCATTGGTCTCCATGAAATTGGTGACCTGACTCCTAATCACTCTCTCAAATACTTTTGATGTGCGATGTTAGTGCAACTGGTCTATAATTCTTTGCCAATGCTTTGCTCCCTCCCTTGTGTAGAGGGGCTATGTCTGCTACTTTAAGTGCATCTGGTATCTCTCCAATGTCCAAGCTCTTCCTCCACACTATACTGAGTGTCTGTGCTACCGGCACTTTGCATTTCTTTATAAATATTGAATTCCATGAGTCTGGACCTGGGGCCGAGTGCATGGGTATGTTTTCAATTTCTTTCTGTTCTAACTGTCTTTCTTCAGTTTCATATGAGTGTTTCAATTTCCGCTCGATTTCTTCAATCTCCCTATTTAAATTATTCCTTCTTTGACGGGAAATTCGTGTCTGCATAAGCAGTTCTGTTATTTTTTTTTCCTGCGTTTATACTGTCGTCTGCGTTCTCTTTCTACGTTAGATCTCTTTCTGGCTTTCCTCAAAGGTACATGTTTCAGACAGACTTGATACACTTCCGAAGTAAGTTTTTCTATTCCTTCTGTAGGACTTGCATTACTTAGAACAGTTTCCCATGGAATGTTTGTAAGTTCCCTGTTTATTATCTCCCAGTCTATCCTTTTATTATTAAAATTGAATTTACTGAATAGCCCCTCTCGCTTTATCAACGTTTTAGGTCTATTCTGAGTATTGATGGTCGTTTGCACTTCAATGAGCTTGTGATCTGAGTATGGTATCTGATATCGTAATGTCTCTGATAATGTCTTCATTGTTTGTAAAGACCAGATCTAGAATATTTTCATTTCTCGTTGGCTCCGATATCTGCTGATTGAGTGAAAATTTGTCACAGAATCTAAGTAATTCTCTAATCTGTGGTTGGTTAGGTCCTGATAGATTTCCTGGTATAATATTATTGTTTGCTATTTTCCACCTGAGACTAGGCAAGTTGAAGTCACCTAGGAAGATAATATCAGGTACCGGGTTCTCCAAATTATCAAGGCTATTCTCTATTTTGTTTATCTGTTCTGTGAATTCCTCAGCCGTTGCATCTGGCGGTTTGTATATTAGAATAATCACTAAATTTATTTTCTCTATTTTTAATCCCAGTACCTCTACCACCTCATTTGTAACGTTTAGGAGCTCCGAGCATACAAGGTCTCCCCTAATATACAGACCCACTCCTCCATGTGACCTAATTTTCCTATCACACCTGTATAGGTTATATCCTGGAATCCAGATCTCACTGTCCAACAATTCCCCTGCATGGGTTTCTGTGAAAGCTCCAAATACTGCATTTGACTCCGTGAGGAAGCCATTTATGAACTGTACTTTTTGGTATGTATGTTTGTACTTCTGGTGTGTTTGGTATATTCACCTAGTTTTGCTTGCTGGGGTTGAGGTATGACTCTTTAGTCAGCTGTGTTTACGTGCGTGTGTGAGTTAAGTGTTTGTGTGTTTGGTGTGTGTGTATTTAATATTTGTGTCTGCAGAATCGAGGTATTAGCTCATGGACCCCGCCTTTCTAACCAATCTATTTTCCCTCTATTCAGTCTACTACATAAATTTTTCTCTAACACACACACACATTCCCAGGAAGTGGTAAGGACTACGACTCCCGAGTATTCTCCACTCAGTCGCTAGGCCTCGAACACACACACTGTGTGTGAGTGTACTCACCTATTTGTACTAACATATTTATGCATGTAGGTTCAAACATTAGCTCTTGGATCTCGCCTTTCTAGCCGCCGGTTCTTGGAAAGCAATGATTTCTATCCTGTTTCCCAATCAAATCTACTTTTAAAATTATAAATAGAATTTACTTCCACAACCTGCTCCTTTAATTCATTCCGTTATCCAACTACTCTCACGAAAAATTTAAACTTTCTAACATCTCTATGACTTAACTGAGTTTCCAACCTCCTCTCATGTCCCCTTGTTCTGTTGGCATTCAACATTTTGTCTATTTCCACTCTGTAAATGCCCCTATTTATTATACATCTATATCCTCTCTCTCCTTTTTTCTAGCATCGTCAGGTTCAGCTCCTTCAGTCGCACTTCATACCACATCCCTGACAACTCTGGGACGAGCCTCGTCGCAAGCCTTTTGCACCCTCCTCTTGTGCTTCTTCCGTTGGGGGCTCTATGATGAGGCAGCATACTCGACTGGTCTCATGTATTCAGTGTAAAGTGGTATAAATGCCTCCTTATTTAGGTTTCTGAAAGATCTAGCTTTAGCTAGCGTGGAGAATTCTGCTGTCGTTATCCTATTTATGTGTGCAGACGAGGAGTCACAATAACGTGGCTGAAATATGTTGACCAAACAACACACTAGAAAATGAAGGGACGATGACGTTTCTGTCCGTCCTGGATCATTCTCATGTCGATTGTGATGAGGAAAGGAGGTGAAGGCAAGATACAAAAGTGAGGAAAAGGAAATCTTAGAGGAAGGAAGGCAAATGGTACGAAAGTTAAGGTGTAATAAGAGGGATAGTAATAGGAATTAGAAGGGGATAGTAATAGGAATTAGATGGGGATAGTAATAGGAATAAGAAAGATATCGTAAGAGAAAACAAGGGAAGAGAAAGAACGAAACAAAGAAAGAAAATGGAAGGGTAAGCTTATGTTAGGTCACGTTTGTTAGAATGTTTAGAGCATTTGAGTATATATTGTGAAAAGGAAGAGTCAACAGCAACAAAACCAGGGCTCAGGATCATGATGGGTACGTTGTGTATCAGAGCCTATTCAACAAGACGGCGTCTAGGTAGAGTACAGGCAGGAAAGATTATTTTGGAGGAAGACCAATCAATAGGATGATTAGAATCCCTAATATGACATTTGAGAACATTGTTTGTGTCTGCAAACTTAACAGTTCTTTTGTGTTCCTTAAGTCTGTCATTAAGTGTACGGCTTGATTCACCAAAGTATTGGAGAGGACAAGACGAACAGGAAATAGACTAGACACCAGCAGCATTAGAAGCAGGAGGAGCAGTGTGAACTAGATTGCTACGAAGTTTGTTAGTTTGTCAAAAGGCGAGTTTTATGTCAAAGGACGAAAGGTAAAAATTTTGAGTTCAGATATGAAGGGAAGGCAGAGCAGACGCTTAGAACATTTTGTATAATGAGTATCATTCACCATTAGTATTAACGTAAAGTAACTTTTATATTGTTTTCTTTATTTGTGTTAAGCCATGAGGTGCAGGGTTTTTTGTCACTAATTGTTTATTATTATTTTCTATACAATTTAACTGATTTTCTATACAATTTAAGGGAATTTCAATGCAATATAAGTGAATTTTTGTTTTTTGATAAAGTAAAATATTTAAAGTGTTTATTCTCTTGTTTATTACCCACAAATTACACGCCGTATAGGATTAGCAGTAATATTTTATTTTATTTGTATTTATTTGTATTAATGCGTTTGACACACATCACCTGTCAGGATAGTTGCTGCGCAAGATGAAGGTTATATGTGTCATCAGGCCAGGATGAAGGTTGTTATATGTGTCATCAGGCCAGGATGAAGGTTGTTATATGTGTCTTCAGGCCAGGATGAAGGTTGTTATATGTGTCATCAGGCCAGGATGAAGGTTGTTATATGTGTCATCAGGCCAGGATGAAGGTTGTTATATGTGTCATCAGGTCAGGATGAAGGTTGTTATATGTGTCATCAGGCCAGGATGAAGGTTGTTATATGTGTCATCAGGCCAGGATGAAGGATGTTATATGTGTCATCAGGCCAGGATGAAGGTTGTTATGTGTCATCAGGCCAGGATGAAGGTTGTTATTTGTGTCATCAGGCCAGGATGAAGGTTGTTATTTGTGTCATCAGGCCAGGATGAAGGTTGTTATATGTGTCATCAGGCCCGGAAGAAGGTTGTTATGTGTCATCAGGCCAGGATGAAGGTTGTTATATGTGTCATCAGGCCAGGATGAAGGTTGTTATATGTGTCATCAGGCCAGGATGAAGGTTGTTATATGTGTCATCAGGCCCGGAAGAAGGTTGTTATGTGTCATCAGGCCAGGATGAAGGTTGTTATATGTGTCATCAGGTCAGGATGAAGGTTGACACCCATGTACCAGCAAACTTGACACCCAGGTGCCAGCAAGGGTGTCATTTGGAACCTTACGATTCGCAGATCGCGTGTGCTATTGTCGCGTCACAACTATAATCATTAAAAAATAAGTGAAAAAGTGGATCAAGAAATGCGCAGTTTTGATTTGTATTGCCATTTGGATATTGTTCATTGTCACATCCAAAGTTGGCCCAGAAAGGGGTTCCCATCTGAACCGCTGAACCGTCGGTCCAAGTCCACACTCCTTCATGGCCTTCGTCACTAGCGCCGATCCAGTAGTACACATCGGACCAGCCTGTTGTAGGGGGTGAGAAGACGACCTCTGAATTTTTTGATAAATCATTTATCTATTATATGCACTGGTAAACTACAATATCAATACAGTATTTGTTTATATGTTTTCCCTGAAGATTTACAAATTTTAACGTGAGGTCTGTACACAAACATGTTAAACGTGTTATATTTAACAAACATAAAATTTTTGTTAGAGTAAGACAAGTAAAATAATACATTAGCACTAAGAGTTTACAGAACTATAAGTAATGTGTACTGTTGCAAGATTAATTATGTACAGGGATTGTGACCCTGAGTCTCGTGTCACTAGATGTGGTACCCGGTGGTGCTCGGGTACCCAGGTCACTCCTACAAATTCTCCCGTCTCGCCACACACTACCATCCCCCATCCCCCCCATACACAATCGCATATCACCACACACCTCGCTCCCCTGCTTCCACACACCACTCTCTCTCATCACCACACACCACCCTTCCCCATCACCACACACACCACTCTCCCATCACCACACACACACCATCACCCCCATCACCACACACACTATATTTCCCCATCACCACACACCACCCTCCCCAATCACCACACACCACCCTCCCCCATTAAGATGCACCACCTTCCCCCATCACCATGCACCACCCTCCCCATCATCACTCACACACACCACCCTCCCCCATCACTACACACCATCCTCCCTCATCACCATACACCACCCTCCCGCGTCACCACACAACACACTCCCCCATCACCACACACCACCCTTCCCCATCACCACACACCACCCTCCCCCATCACCACACACCACCTTCCCCATCACCACATACCACCCTCCCCCATCACCACACACACCCCATCCTCCCCCATCACCACACACCACCCCCTCCATCACCATGCACCACCCTCCCCCCTCACCACACATACACACACCACCCTCCCCCATCACTACACACCACCCTCCCCCATCACTACACACCATCCTCCCCCATCACCACAGACCACCCTCCCCATCACCACACACCACCCTCCCCCATCACCAAACACCACCCTCCCCCATCACCAAACACCACACTTCCCCATCACCACACACCACCCTCCCCCATCACCACACATCACCTCCCCATCACCAAACACCACCCTCCCTCATCACCACACACACCACCCTTCCCCATCACCACACGCCACCATCCCGCATCACCCCACACCATCCTCCCCCATCACCAAGCACCCCCCCTCCCCCATCACCATACACAACCCTCCCCCATCACCTCACACCACCCTCGCCATCACCACACACCATCCTTCCCCATCACCACACACACCACCCATCCCCATCACCACGCACACCACCCTTCCCCATCACCACACTCCACCTTCCCCATCACCACACATAACCTTTCCCCATCACCACACACCACCCTCCCCATCACCACACACCACCCTCCCCATCACAACACATACACAACCCTCTCCCATCACCACACACCAACCTCTCCCATCTCCAAACACGACCCTCCCCCATCACCTCACACCACCCTCCCCTAGCACCACACACCACCTTCCACCCATCACCACACACACCACCCTCCCTCACCACCACACACCACCCTCCCCCATCACCACACACAACCCTCCCTCACCACCACACACTACCCTCCCCCATCACCACACACCACCCTCCCCCATCACCACACACCACCCTCCCCCATCACCACACACCACCCTCCCCCATCACCACACACAACCCTCCCTCGCCACCACACACCACCCTCCCCCATCACCACACACCACCCTCCCCCATCACCACACACCACCCTCCCCCATCACCACACACCACCCTCCCCCATCACCACACACCACCCTCCCCCATCACCACATACCATCCTTCACCACCACACCACAACACACCCGGGGAGCCGGTCGGCCGAGCGGACAGCACGCTCGACTTGTGATCCTGTGGTCCTGGGTTCAATTCCCGGCGCCGGCGAGAAACAATGGGCAGAGTTTCTTTCACCCTATGCCACTGTTACCTAGCAGTAAAATAGGTACCTGGGTGTTAGTCAGCTGTCACGGGCTGCTTCCTGGGGGTGGAGGCCTGGTCGAGGACCGGGCCGCGGGGACACTAAAGCCCCGAAACCATCTCAAGATAACCTCAAGATAACCTTCCCCATCACTACACACCACCCTCCCCCATCACCACACACCACCCTCCCTCACCACCACACACCACCCTCCCTCACCACCACACACCACCCTCCCCCATCACCACACACCACCCTCCCCCATCACCACACACCACCTTCCCCCATCACCACACACCACCCTCCCCTATCACCACACACCACCTCCCATCACCACACACAACCTTCCCCCATCACCAAACATCACCCTCCCCCCATCACCACACATCACCCTCCCCCCCATCACCACACATCACCCTCCCCATCACCACACATCCCCATCACCACGCACACCACCCTTCCCTATCTCCACCCTCTCCATCACCACACATAACCTTTCCCCATCACCACACATAACCTTTCCCCATCACCACACCCCACCCTTCCCATCACCACACACCACCCTCCCCATCACAACACATACACCACCATCACCACACACCAACCTCCCCCATCTCCAAACACCACCCTCCCCCATCACCACACACCACCCTCCCCTAGCACCACACACCACCTTCCACCCATCACCCACACCACCCTCCCTCACCACCACACACCACCTTCACCATCACCACACACCACCCTCCCCATCACCACACACCACCCTCCCCATCACCACACACCACCCTCCCCCATCACCACACACCACTTTCCCCCAGCACCACACACCACCCTCGGATCACCACACACCACCCTCCCCATCACCACACACCACCCTCCCCCATCACCACACAGCACCCACCACCTCACCACCTTCCCCCATCACCACACACCACCCTCCCATATCACCACACACCACCCTCCCTTCACCATCACCACACACCACCCTCCCATCACCACCCTCCCCCATCACCACACAGCACCCACCACCTCACCGCTTTCCCCCATCACCACACACAACCTTCCCCCATCACTACACACCATCCTTCCCCCCCATCACCGCACATACACAACCCTCCCCTATCACCACACACCACCCTCCCCATCACCACACACCACCCTTCCCTATCACCACACACACACACAAACCTCCCCCATCACCACACACCACCCTCCCCATCACTACACACAACCCTCCCCCATCACCACACATCCCCTTCTCCATCACCACACACCACCCTTCCCCTTTCACTACACACATCCCTCCCCCATCACCACACACCACCCTCCCCCATCACCACATAACCTCTCCAAACACCCCCACCCCTTTCTCCACACACCAACCTCCCCAATCACCACACACCACCCTCCCCAATCACCACACACCACCTTCCCTTATCACCACACACCACCTTCCTCCATCACCACACACCACCCTCCCCCATCACCACACACCCCCACCCATGTCTTCACACACCATCCTACACTATCACCATACACCACCCACCCTCATCACCTCACACCACCCTTCCCCATCACTACACACAACCCTCCCCCACCACCGTCACCATCACCACACACCCCCTTCCCCACCACCCTCACTATCACCACACACCACCCTCTCTCATCACCACACACCACCCTTACCATCACGACACACCACCATCCCCCATCACCACATCACCTCCCCAATCACCCCCACCCCTGCCTCCACACCAACCTCCCCCATCACCACACACACCTCCCTTCCCTATCACGGGAAGCCGGTCGGCCGAGCGGACAGCACGCTGGATTTGTGATCCTGTGGTCCCGGGTTCGATCCCCGGCGCCGGCGAGAAACAATTGGCAGAGTTTTTTTTCACCCTATGCCCCTGTTACCTAGCAGTAAATAGGTACCTGGGTGTTAGTCAGCTGTCACGGGCAGCTTCCTGGGGGTGGAGGCCTGGTCGAGGACCGGGCCGCGGGGACACTAAAATGCCTCGAAATCATCCCAAGATAACCCAAGAAGGATTCACCACACACCACCCTCCCCCATCACCACACATACACAACCCTCCCCATCACCACACACAACCCTCCCCCATCACCACACACCACCCTCACCATCACCACACACCACCCTCCCCCATCACCACACACCACCCTCCCCCGTCACCCCCCACCCCTGTCTCAACACACACCAACCTCCCCAATCACCTCACACCCTCTTCCCGATCACCTCACACACCCTCCTTTATCACCACACACCACCCTCCCCCATCACCAATCATCACCCACCTCCATGACCACACGCCACCTTCCTCCATTACCAAACACCACCCTCCCCCATCACCTAACTCCGCCCTCCAATCACCAAACACCACCCTCCTCCATCACCAAACACCACTCTACCCCATCACCAAACACCACCCTCCTCCATCACCAAACACCACCCTCCTCCATCACCAAACACCACTCTCCCCCATCACCAAACACCACCCTACTCCATCACCAAACACCACCCTCCCCCATCACCAAACACCACCCTCCTCCATCACCAAACACCACCCTCCTCCATCACCAAACACCACTCTTCCCCATCACCAAACACCACCCTACTCCATCACCAAACACCACCCTCCCCCATCACCAAACACCACCCTCCTCCATCACCA